CCCCAAAACCCCAAAACCCCAAAACCCCACAATAGTAGTTTTCATAAAATTAGATTTCGTTAATATAGAGATATGATCCTATAATACATCTAAATTGATTTGTTCGGAAATTCAAATACATTCAAACTGCCTTGCTAGTGACTGGCTATTGTTCCTTGTAGATATGATGATATTTGCTAAGCTCTTTTTGACATCCGTCGTGCATTTAATGTAGCACCATCTTATCTTCATCAGTAAGGTTGGCCGCTGAACTGAAAGAGGCAACTTATAACGTGAACTGCTCATTTTTAGGTATCTTTACAATTTTATCGCTTAGAGTCTAGCCTAAACTCTTTAGTTGATACTAGGTACGCAAGTCCATGTTGAGTTCAGGCGATGCTTGCAATAGCTATTCCAAATTCATCTAGAAAAAGGCTTTTGCCTGGATACTTCCTTCCTCTTCTTCTATTGGTTGCACAAATAAATTCAGTTTACATCTTTGCGCCTCTGGTGCAAGAGTGACCATTTTCTAGCCATCTTCATCGTATTCGGCATCTTCGTCATCATCTTCATATTCGGAATAGTCGCTTTCTCCGTTGGCTTTTCCTCTGTGTGCTCCTGCTTTACGGCTTTTCTGGATTTTCTTCTCAAGTCTTCCTTCTTTTCTATAAATCTAGATGACATTTTTGGCGCTTGAAAAATTGACTCCGTATCTTTCGCAGACACTTTTGAGACTTTCTTTCATCACCATGACCTCAAATACTATTGTTCTACGCATATTGTCATCTATCTTTAGGTATTGAGTTTATCGCTTGCGGTTACCATTATTGTCTAATATGTTTAAAAATATGATGCTTCTTACCAGTCCCATTAAGCCCACAGGTGCATTAATTCACATCTGGACAAACTCCACATACAACGTAGTCATCTTTTTTATAGGCATTGGTGTTAGGCTACTGTCTGTCATCAATAGAGGCTAAAGATTTGGTGGATTTATCTGCTTTCTTAATAGGCTTTGATTTCCTAGATATTTAACCTCTGTTTGAAGGACTATATTAAGACTCTGACTCTTTTTCTTCTTCATCAGAGGAATTTACCTCAGGCCTTGAGCGGTTACTTGATGTTTATAAATGCTTTTGCTAAGAAGGATGACTTTGATTCTATCTTAATTCACCTTTCTCCAATATCCCTGTCTTTGTCTGGTTCTAGTGATTGCTTGCTATCTATTTTTTATTTTAGGGTTTTTTAGGTATTAATTTACCAGTTAAATTCCAGCTTAATTAGGATGAGATTCGGCTCTGCCAACATTATTAATATTGCTTATAGTTTTATGAGTATGATCTTATCTATTATTGGACATTTTGCAAAATTAAGGGATAGTTCAATATTATTAATAAAAATTTAAGACTCTTAACTAAATTAATCAATGTGATTTTAGATGTTTTTACAATATATTCTATTCTTTATAATAAATAGGCCCTATGGGGTTTTGGGGTTTTGGGG